TGAAAATTGGTGCCAAATTTAAGGGGCCACCGATGGGTTTGGCCTTTCTTTAAGCAACAAAGTTATGGTAATAACACATGCACGTGTGTAAGGTAAATTAACAAAGACAATTTACATGGGCCCTCAATAGCAAGAACACCTTAGATTATTTTGTTGGAGAATCAACGTTGACTTTCTTAGATATTTTGTTATACATGAATTATTTTACTTTATGTATTAGGAAATTATTTTAACGATAATAGTCTTTGTTCATGAACTAGAAAAGAGAAAAAGGTTTAGAATTAAAGATACATGTACTAGATTAGATACATGGTAAAAGAAGTCCTATAAATACTAGGGGCACTTCAGCTATTAAGCAGGTTGAGTGAAACAAAGAAGATTCACCTCCTCTACTTATATTCAAGAGAAGTTGAGTGATTTGTGAGCACTCCTTCAACCCACCCCGCAACCCAGGACCCCAAATACTCAGCATTTTGTAAAGCCACTTGCATTAAAGGACTTGTGAGAATTGAGAAACTAAGGCAAAGAGATCTTGTTGAAAGATTTTGAAAGAACTAAAAATCATGTCTTCATCAAATTCCTGTTAGTAACTTGCTCCTGTATGTAGAGAGAACTACCAACCATAGGTAGTGAAAAATGATTTTTGTCCTGATAAATAAAGGTAAAAGTGAAGTCTGAAGATTAAAGCTTTTAGCTGAAGATTTATGGGAGGTAATGGAGACAAGGGGAATCACTTGAGTTGTCTAAGGATCCAATGGTTTCTCACCTCCAAATTTCCAAAGCTAAGAAAAAGAAAAGATCTAAGGCTAGTATCAGAAGCAATTTTTGTAAAGACTATGTCTTGCTCTTCTCTTAATGAAAAATGGAAAAATTGGTAGACATGATATCAAAGGTCGGAAAGGACCAGAAATATCAATATTATCACTTTAAAGAGCCAACTTGAAAACTTAAGAATGGAGAAGACACAATACCCAAACAAGTTTATGAAACTTGTGAGTCAAAGAGAATCTTTTGAAAGAAAAGATTGTCGAGTAAGCCCTTGGAAGTTTGCCTAGAAATTTTGCATTGAAAATTCTTCCCCAGAGGTTTCTATAGATATTGCAAAGATGACTTGTAAAATTTATTAATGCACTTGAGGCACAAGAAAAAAGAAGAATATAGGACATCATGGAATTGCTCTTAAGCTAGCTTTATAAATCAAAGATATGGTCAACCAAGATATAGTGCTCTTGAGCTAGCTTTGAAATGTAGATAATGCAAAAAAATCACTAGATGGAAAAGTTTTGATTGGGCAGATTGTGTAATAGACGAATTAATTTGAACAAATACATCTCATTTCCATTCTTCATTTCTGTTCATTAAAATTGAGCACCGCTGTACAAGAATAGGAAATGATGTACAAATAAAAGGACCAAAAAGTTGTACTTTCGACAAAAAATAGGACCAAAAGTTTTCAATTCAAGACAATGATAACTAACATAATAGACAGGGACTAGGCGGGACAATGTGGAGCCAATTGTTAGCCGGAAAGAATATTAAGTATACAGGACTGGGGCAAGACTGTGGAAGTGGTTAAACTCGATTGAGTTTTAATTAAAGATAATAATCGTAACTAAGGGGTCAAACTCTTTATCACTCTATTGATTTGGAGGATTTTTCAATAAGTTCTTCAATTAAACAACTGACGAGAAGAATAATCTGCACTGATAAATTTAGTATTCCGAATTACTATTATGTTGTTTCTACTAGTCATGATAGTCAGGAGAATTCTTCCAATAGTGAAGAAGAATTTACCTCAGCGGCAACAAGAGAGAAGTTGCCGGCATTAGAGCCAGTTTTGGGACCGCCTTTCCGCCAGTTAAGGAGACGGCGTGCATCATCGGAATCGCGGGACATTGCAAGTGCGTCAATGAGGCAAGTAGCGAGGACGTGCTCCTTAAGGCCATAAGAGCCACGCTCACGGTCGAGGCCAGGGAGAATAAGGCGCATGGCAACGAAATTGTCCTGAGGCTTCCTGCAGAAGGTATCCATAAACTTCCGGAACTTGGACCGCTTCTTCACTGATGATTTACTCTTCTGTATCCACTTAAAAAGGCTAACCATTACACTAAATTTTATGTCTTCTCCGCCAACACTACTATTACCACCACCGTCTACGGCGGAAGTCGCCATTTTTTCTTTGGGGTGCCAATTTCGAATCGTTTGAATTGAAGCGTACTAGAGAATTTTGCTGGGAAGCAATTTATTTACATTCTGGTCAGGAGACCAAACGACCAAACTTTATATTACACATCAGTGGTCCTTGACTAATTCATAAATTGAGTCAACAGCCCTCCAAGTCTAGAAAATGTGCTGACAAATGATTTTCTAATTGGAAAAAGTTTCATATGTCATTGAATTTTTTATAAAAAAAAATATTATCTCACTATTCACTAAAAATTAGGTTTATTTATGTCATTTTTTATTTGAGAAAAAAACTATTCATGTCATTAGTTATTTACTAAAATTAATTTCAATTTTGCAAAATCTTTTAAGAACATAGGGAGTTATGATTCAATCACATTATCAATTAATTTTTTTAAAAAAAAGTCAAATCTTCGAGTATGAATCATGTATTGTCTTTCCTCTAGAGAGGTAAAGTCCTTCGCTCAGACGTTGTAAAATCTTTGTCGCAGAGCATATAATTTTCTTGGCTTATATAGTCTTTGGCTCGGATGACAGGGTGCCTTTTAACTAAGACGGTATAAAGTCTAATTGTGTAAAGTCTTGCCTAGATTAATGTATAAAAAATGATTCAAACGATATAAAGTAGATCTTGTAAAGTCTTCATATTAAATTATATAAAGTTTTTGGCTTGAATAGCGTCATGCCTTTGACTCAAACAGGGTAAAGTCTTCGCCAAGGACAAAGTGAATATTTTGGGTCACTGTCATATAGTGTATAAAATTTTTTGTACAAAGTCTTTAGCTTGAATGATATGACGCCTCTTGGTTCAGATGGTACAAAGTTTTCTACTCAAGTGATTCAAATTCATTATCTCAAACAATATAAAGTTTTATCATATAAAATTAATATCTTCGCCTATAAAATAAAATGAACAGCAAAGAAAGTAAGAAAAATTGAGAATAAGATATTAACATGAGTACAAATTTATCTTAATGGTCAAAATAGATTAAGTTGTTCTGTCAAATTCATCTGAATTGTCAATATAGATCAAATTACTCTATCCAATTATCTTGTCTATCAAAAACATAAAAGAATATTAAAAACTAATTCATGATCGTTGATGTTCATATAAGTTATTGTAAATCGTAGATGTTAGTCATAAAGTATCGATAACTCTCAACTTTGTGCAACATGTGTTATAAATCATTGGCAAGTCAACACAAAAATAATACAATCATAAAATTTTAGCCCAAAAAAAATAAATGAAGTCGTTATTGATTTAAAAAAATACAACAATATGGTGGATAACAAAAAGAAAAGCTCTTAAAAAAACAAGGTATAAGATGATAAAAGATATCACTTTGTGAAGGTTATGATAAAATTCAACTTTAGGATGACGCCTTCACTCATTTATATTGAGCATGAATATTGAATTTCAAAATTTCTACTGATTAGATATTTACAAAGATGAAAGAGTAGTGTTTTATATTTAAGGAAGAGTGAATTAAGGATCCCGTGTCCTATTAGAACTACAACTATATTTATTTGATGTTTAGTCGATTTGGACTATAAAATTAACAGGTAATTCATGATGATAAGGAAGATTATGCATGTGATATTATAAGAAACTTTTTTGTTCTGGCCTTTTAGATTAGAACAAAAATAGATGAAAAGTCTTCTTTATGATGGAAGACGATGAAAGGGAGAGAATGCATCAAATGATTAATTAGGTACACAAATTATGAGGCTCATTTAAACTTAGTTATTCCAAAAGCTTTAAAAGTATATGCAGATGTGTCACATGATAAATCAAATTTTTGTATATCAATGAAATCTGATAGGTTCAAAGAAGTCTGTCTTCGTTACAATTCTTTCACTCTACGATTACAAATATTTGTCCTCATAATTTAAAAAATTCACCAAAATTCTAACAAGAAGCATGAGACAGCTTGGGAATCTAACGTCACAGATTTCTCAACAATCTACAAGTTCAAGCATTCAAACACTAGCACTCAAGTTCCAGATACAACTCAAGATCAAGACCACTAGTGTCTTCAAAGAGAATCTAATAACTTTCTAGAGTTATTCTTGAATAATGTCCTTGGCTAGGTTAGCTTTATTCCAATGTTGTGTCACCAACTTGGTTCAAAAGAGTTATTGAGTCGGATCCATTCATAAAATAAGCGCGTGAAATCTTGAAAACTGACAAAATTTGATTAGTTCATAAAAAGATCATAGACACATGTCAAGAGACCATTGAAAAAATAACATTTGTTGCACTACTTGGTCATCTTTGATTTGAAAAAGTTTACAAGTTCACTTCTTTTATTAAAAGGAAAAAAATTTGAAATATGTCATCGAATTATTAAAGATAAATTATTTATATTGATCATTAGTCAAAATATAGGTTTATTTATGTATTGTCTTTAAACAGAAGAGTTCGTTTGTGTTATTATTTTTTTTTTTTAAAAAAAAAAAAATATATATATATATATATATATATATATATTTGGTTTTACAAAATTATTTATGCCATGTGGTTCCTTATTAGAGGCCTACGCCATTCATTAAAAAAATTCAATATTTAATTCAATCAAAATTAAATATGAACTGATATAAATAAAATCGAAATCACCAGTAGAATAGTAACCACCACGTATGATTCAATCATTATTCATTACTTATATTTTTTAATATAAATATCAATAAATAATTCATTACTGACCTTGTTCCCCAATATACTATCAAATATCAAACTAATTACTAGTATCAATGTGAACCACAAAAGTAACTCTATTTAGAAAAATCAAAGTAAAATCACCATTGACACACAATTCCTAAAATTAAACATTCAATATTTATTGTATACAAAAATACATGTAACACCAAAGAAACACAAAACAACTGATGATATATAGAAGAATCACATAAATATATATCTTCCAAAAGGGAAGCTTCAAATGATTCTAGCACAAGATATAAAAAAACATGCATGCATACATATATATATATATATATAACAATGTTGCTTCAACGAAGCAAAGATGATTTTATACGCCTCGCGCTCAAGGCTTTTTAGGTACTTGAGGGATATCTAGCTTTGGAAAAATTGGTAATTCAGGCTTAGGAATAACAGGTATCTCGAGTTTTGGCAATGCTGGAAGTTCAGGCTTTGGCAATGTTGGGAACTCAGGCTTTGGTATTTTTGGCAATTCGGGCTTTGGTAGAGTTGGTAGCTCGGGTTTTGGAATTTCAGGGAACTCGGGCTTAGGCAAAGTTGGAATTTCAGGTAAATGTGGCAATTCGGGCTTAGGAAGCTTAGGCAGAGTTATTTCAAGAAGATGACGAGCGTCTGATCGAATTACATAATCACTTGTTAAAAACGAAGTGACGAATAATAAGAAGAAAAAAGATGGGTTGTAGTAATGAGCCATATTTGTTGAAAGGTGATAAATGCTTCAAGACTAGTAATTTATGCTTTGATTGATTATGCTTTATGTTTCACTTCAAACAAGTTTATATAGATGTTTGGTAGAAATTAAAAATAGGAGAATTAGGCTTTGGTAGGAAAAAATTGTGTTAGTTCATCTTCTCAACAATAATCTCCTAATTTAGTCTACAATAAACTCACTTATATAACATATTTTATGTAAATATTCCTACTCAACACATAATAAAAAGTCTTCAAGTAGGTAATCTAAAGAGAGTACATACTTTTCTTAAAAATTAGACAAAGGTTCTATTGAATAAAATGACATACCATAACTAGAAATTACAATTGAATATTCACACATGAAAAAATATTTTTGTCTTTTAAACCCATTAACTTCGTACTTTAACATATCATTTTTAATTTGGTTCAACTTTTTAATGATGATAGACAACATACAATTATTTCTAGTATAATATATGTGCAAGTTCATAGTTTAACACTATGCAAAAAATCTACCGCTATTACTAGATTACAAATTTACGTACAAAACACGCACTAGAGTCGTTCCTTCAACTTTAATAATGTGACATTTTAAGTGTTATGATTAATATAACTTTATCTTCCTTTTCGTTTAATAAAAAAATATTTATTATGAAAATCTAGAAATAAATGTGCTAATTGATGGGATATCATTTAATTGACAACAATTTGAACGTATTAAAAGAGTCAAATTAATGTGTGTATCATGATCTAACATGTCCAAAGTTAACTAAAAACAAGATGAATGGGTCACTTCGGACTAAAAGATAGATTTGACCAAATAAGCTTTTAACCACGTCTTTCCTATCCAATTAAAAACCATTTTCTTATTTATTTTCTTGTTATTTTTTTTATAATTAACAATTCAAAAAAATTAACAAGATTATTTATAACATCGATAGAGGAAGTTGATGAAATGAGACTAAACAAAAGAGAATAAGTTCAAGTGCAATACCTATTCTATTGCATCAAGAGCTGATTTAATTGCAGCCCTTGCCGTAAAAATGGGTGGCGGCGGTACCAGTATCGGGACTGTCGGACCGATAGTTACCGGAACCGGGATCCATCAGTCGGAACTGTACCGGTACCAATCGTTCCAGGATTTTTCCCTGCTTCCGTCCCGGTCCGCCAGGGAACCGGTACGAAATCGAACCGGACCAGACTGACATTTGGGATTTGATCGGCCTTTTTTAAAAATAAATTAAAAAAATAATTTTTTTTATTAAAATCAATTAAAAATTATTTTTTTTAAAGTAAAAAAATTTATACTTTTCAAGTTAATTATTTATACTTTATAAACATCAAATTTTGGAAGTTTGTAAAACTTTAAATTTTAAAGACTTAAAGTTCTTTGAAAGTTTGATAGTTTAAAGTTTGACTATAATATATATTATATTAATTTGAAATTTTATACTTTTTAGTTTAAATTTTCAAAGTGTAAAAGTTTGAAAATTTAAAATTTCACAATAATGAAAATTCAATTTAATACGATAATAAAAAAAATTAAGGCGAATAGCCTAGATTTTTATTAATATTAATTTGATAGTACGATGTGATTTACAAAAATATTAGTAGAGTATTAAAAGATCTAATCTACACAACCACCTTCTAGGAAGGGTTCTGTTTGAATTAGATCTCGATTATCATACTCATACTAATAGTCGGTGCTATGATAGAGATCCTTTCTTAAATCATTTAACATTTCTATAGTAACATGATCGGAAATTGGTTGAATAGATAAATCTTCCATTGCTTCGATCCCGTCGTCACTATAATCTTGCATTATTTCATCAACGTTACTTTGAAATTTGATCAGTAATGATTCATGACCCAAATTTCTTCTCTCAGCATTAATCCAATCTCTAAACAATACTAATATCTCCAAGCTATCTGCTGCTAGTGAATGCCTATGATCTCCAATTTGAAACCTTGCACTAAAAATGCCTTCCGATGCTACTGACGACGCTTGAATAGCTAATATATCTCGAGCCATCAGTTGAAGTTTTGGAAATACATTGCCGCGATTTCTCCACCATGCTAGAACATCTTCAGTAGATTCTGTATTTTGACTAAGATATGCATCAAATTCATTTCTATTATTGTGAGAAAGTTCAAGATAAGAATCTAAATAAGCATCAATATTATCTTCATTAAGTCTACTCATAGAACTTTCAAGTTCTTGATCACTTGATAAATTTATATTAAAATTATATAAGTCATACAATTTTCTAGCTTCAAATTTTATGTTATCTTTAACTTCTAGACCACTAGGAATTTATCTAATTCACTATTAATATCCAAGTTAAAATATATTTTATCAACCATCCTTGATGAACCTACATCTTTGTAATGAGAGTTTAACAAACAAGCGGTTAAATAAATTTGAGGAATAGGAATATAATATTTTTTAATTTTTCAATCATTTTTTGAATAGTTTCTTGAAATCTTGGTTTACTTTTAAATTTATAAAATTTAGAAGAAATAATACAAATATCAGGCAAAACAGTACAAATTGATGAACTATATTGTACATATATTCTTTTGGTAGTATTGCAAAAAACTTTTAAAGAATCTATGAGTTCATATATGTCATGCCAATTACTATCATCGACTATATGACATATCTGAATTATGAGCATTCCAAAATATTTGTAAGGGTTTTCTATATTCATAAGCGACTACAAGCATTTCATATAAAGAATTTCATCTAGTAGAAACTGTTTTTGGAGTTTTTTTAGGTGGAAGATTATATTCAAAACAATGATTTTGATTATCTCTACGCCTAGACTTAACTTGACATGTAAAATAAAAAATGACATGCATTTTCAACTTCTGTGCAACCGTTATCATACATTTGTATACCATCTCTAACAATCAAATTATATATGTGTGCAATACACCTAATATGATAATCATCACCCATAAATAGGACAAAGAGTAGGTTTTAACAATTCAACAACTTTGTAAAATATCTAAAATAGTTTGAGCTATATAACAACCGGATTTTTGCATCTGACAACATTTATAACCTTAAATTCTTTTTTGCATAATCCAATTTTCATCAATCCAATGTGCAGTAACAGTCAAATAATCGTTACCGTTTAAACTACGACCCATATCAAAAGTAATAGCTATTTTACAATTATTATAATAAAATAAACAACGAAGATATTGAAAATGTTGTGCTTGATAATCAAATACAATCTTTTTAATTATATTTCTAGCAAAACCTTTAAAATGTGGATTATTTACATTTTGAATATAATGTATAAAATTGAGATTTTCAGTAAAACTAAATGGCAAACCAATAACAACTATCATTTTAGCTAGTTCTTCAAGATCTTTTTCTCTACTATATGAATGGGGTAAACTAGGGGGTAAACTAGAGCCAGAAACATTAGAAGTATTTAATTGTGTTTGTACCATGTTAGAGCCGCCAATTCCTGCATTTTCAGGAAGGGGGCATAGTTCTTTTTAGCTTCGGCTACCGCTTTAGTATGCAAAAATTCATTTTTACAATAAGACATTAAATGATGACTCAAATGTCCCGTCCCACTGGATTTACCAACAGTTTTATGATTTAATCTATGTTTACATTTATTACAAATAGCTTGTGTTTTATCTTCATTTTGTGTCATAAATTTCCACACAACCGATTTTTTAGCACGTTCTACATTAGGCTAGGATGTAAGGGGGGAGCATGGACAGGACAACGAAAGGGAGCGGGACTAGGAGTGAAACTGGGAGTATTAACAGCCGTAGGTGGCTCAGTTTCATCATCATCATCAAAAGTAGGCGTATCAATATAATCATCAATGTTATTATCATTATCATCAGCTCGAGGCAATTCATCATCAAAATTACCAAACGAAGTTGTAAATATTCATGATAAGGGTCTAATCCAGAATTACTATCAATAAAAAATAGTATCATTAACATGTGTATAATCCTCCGTATTCATTCTTACTATAGTAGATTTTTTTGTTTTAGATCTAGAAGAACTATCGGTTTTTTGGATTATCGGAGGATGTAAAGTTAAACATATTTTTAACATGCTCAATTGCACTTTACCTTTTCCTTTTTGAACAACATTTTTACCAGAATCCATATTCAAATATTAAACGTGATTAGATTATATATAATATGAAAAATATAATGCAAACAAATAATTAATCACAAAATAAATAAATAATTATTGTAATACAAATGAAATGTATATTATAAGTTGAAACAAATGTACCAAATGTCTACTTAAAAAAGTAGACGTTTATGACCGTCGAAAGCCGAAAGTGGAAATGAAAGTTGAATTTTGAAGCTCCAAATCCAATTTCCAAAGACAAAAACGACAAAATTGGAATTTCTTAAAATTTTAAGAGATTAGATATTAGAGAAGTAGAGAGTTGAGAGCTGAGAGAATATAAGATGATTTTGTGAATTTTTGATTGAAAGAATGAAAATTTAGGGGTATTTATAGGTAAAAAAAGGATTAAAGTGTAATTTTTAAAACTTCGGGGTATTAAAAAAGTTAAGGGGAGGGGGTAGGGGGTAGGGGTGTAATTGACTGAAAAATGGGGAAAGAGCCATTGGGGCCCCCCACTAGCCATTACCCAACGGCTCTAAAACAGTCAGTTTTTTTTTAAAAATAAGAAATTAATTAACTAGACCGTACCGGGATTTATCGAAATCGGGACTAACCGGTAAAACCCGCTTTCCATCCTGTTACCTATCCTGGATCCGAACATAATCAGTCCATACTGGGATAAACCAGAACTAAACGGGACCAGTAACGGACCAGGACGGACTAGATCGGTATCTTGGAGCTATCGGTTCCGTTGCCAGGCTTAGCCGTAAGAACTTATTCTCAAACACTTACGACTGACTTTTTGTAACACCTTGAAAATCCAAGACATGTCTTAAAGCCTAACATAGGTGTCACGAGGTCTAAGTACTATTTCTAAGTCCATTTTTAATGAATATAAGTCATTTAGGAGGTTTAAGAACCAAAACGCCCAAGAACTTCCATGACGTCCGGGAAGTTGGTTCAAAGGGGTGTTAGTGTGCCTTAGCCTATTTGACTAGCTTTTTGGAGTTGGAAAAGTAAGAAAAAATAGTGGAAAGGTAGCTAAT